GGACCCTCAGTATAGGCTGCCAAGGTTAGGTCAGTCCCCTCGGCGCATAGACCTATATAAAGTTTACGTCATCACTATACGGTCAGAGGCTCAAACATTGTAGAGTCTTTACCATATGTGCCAAGGACAAATCTTTAGCTACTCGATACATTTAAATAATATATCTTTAAAACACTGACAATTGATTAATTGTAAGCTGTACATTATCCATGACAAATTGCAAAGAATGAAGATATTACCCATAATTTCCTGCAATTTATCCAATATATAGTTAACTAAATACGCCTTCGCCCATTTAATACTACTAAATTGTAAATTTCGACATGCTAAAACGCTGTTTTCTGACCATCAGAATTCTGTCAAATCTTCCCCAAAGTCCAGGAAATGGCATTTCAGAGACTCTAAATTTAAAAATTTCCTCGGGCCTTCGGCCCTCGCTTTCAGCCCCTTTGTTTTTAATAAGAATAACGTCGAATGTTTGTCCCACAATTTCTAGAATAAACCCCAACAAAATTTAGAATTTCCAAAATATCTTATTGTACACCCCTCCCGCCAATTCAGGACACTTTGGAGAGCCCCCCTTGTTAACATTCCAGGACTACACCACTGATAGGCCTATAAATTTCACTTAAAAAAAAAATTCCAACCATCAAGTGAGAAAAAAAATATATTTCTTCTATAGGTGTACAAAAAAAAAATATTGCCTCTTAGAAAATCCCCTCCCCCCCATCACTTTTCTAATGGTCCGTCCCTAAAGGCCCCTCATACAATATCATCGGGCGCCTGAAGCACTGCCAAAACGATCGCTGTGAGTCCTTTCAGCTCAACTTTATAGAGAAATAGTTTCGTTTGCGCTTGTGGGATTTTATCCTAGATATACGCATGTGCAGAACACACCATAAGTTCTATTCCCGTGTTTATCCAGTTTAATACGCTCTTTGAATTAACCTTATCATTAATGATAATATGTAAACTAGAACACTATAATTGACCTCCGCTTGTGGAGATTTTAATTTAGGGCGATTAATTAAACTGAAATCTGTTCTATCACGATCCCCCGGTAGCGCTTAATAAATTGAGCAGCCAATGAAATGTTTTCGTTCGAGATGTTGTGTAAACAACTCGTTTCTCGTGTTTCATCAGGGGACCAAACACTCGATAACAATAAAACACTCGCGCTTCGCGCTCGTGTTTCATACAGTTTTCTCGTGTTTGGATCCCCTGATGAAACACTCAAACTCGTTGTTTACATATAACATCAACAGTTCGGCCACTGCCAACTATATGACTATAGTGTGGCATTTTAGAAGAACAATGCTTTGCATGCTATTTTGTTATGCTAGGCATGTGTCGAATGCATTAAAAACAATGTCCTCAACTCTAGTTTTCGAACTAACGTGGCTTTAGTTCGACGTCCTTGGATGCAGTTTTGCTCTATGTTGTTTGGTATTTAGTTCTTAAGCGGCTTCGCATTAGTAAATTCAAAAGAAAGGCATATTCAATTTAGCGAAAAATTATATTCAAGCGAAGTAAAACCTCAGCCCGCCGACGGTATACAGGGTGTCCCAAAAAACCCTCAAATCTATTGGAATAACGGTGCTGGTGGAATTTTAATATGCTAGCACAAGCTGAACGCAAAGATGCGTAAATATAATATTAATTATTATATACACAAGGTCTGGATATGAGGTATTCTGCAATCTGATTGGTTCTCTACTAGCAGGATATTAGCTCATATCCTATGCTCATATCCTGCTAGTAGAGAAAAACAAAATGGCGGCCAAACTGAATTGACGATGTTTTGCAAACGAGAAAACGGCAAGTTGTCGCTTTTTATAGCCTTCACAGGATTAAAAACACAATGAAAAAACTCCCACAAATTGTTTTCAGGTTAGCAAATAAATTTTTAAAATTTAAAATGGTTAAAAATATATATTTTTGAAAAAATAATAGGCCGAAAGAGCGAAGATAAAAACATAAACAAAATAGAAAAATATTGAAAATATCCGAATAGCAAAGTCTGTGAATTCAGACCTTGTGTATATAATAAAACAGTTATAATAAACACTCACTCTCGTCGAATATGAGCGATAGCCGATTCGGCGCTACGCGCCTCATCGGCTATCAGCTCATATTCGACTCGAGTTCGTAGAATAACTGTTAAATATCTACTTATTAAGAAATTAAAATGTCCTTATAAGGCCAAGTAAAAAAATATGTTTCTCGTCACCGCCCGCTTCCTTTTTCTTGGCCGCTTCCTTTTTTTTTGCTGGTTTTCCTTTACAAATTTTGCTTCATGTTTTTTACTTCCTTTTTGATAGCTTGAAGCTAACTTGAAGTATTAATCTGGAACTACTGCGGGCTCATTCAAAATCCTATCCGCTGACCAAATTCAAAGGCGACGAACCGCCACGAACTCACAGCGTGTAATATTGCGTGTATTTTTCTTACTAAACTGTATGAAAGCTTATTACTTTGGCTAAGAAAAAAAAATGCCCCGCTTCCCTGCTTTTTGGCAGAAATCCGGACGAGAAACATAATTTTTTTTTTTACTTGGCCTAAAAGCTCACGATTTTCTGCTCTTGGCAGCTTCTTATTAAACAGTTTCTTTATGCATAAAATTTACTTATGTCGAGCTTTTATGCACTTGCAATTGTGGATTCAGCAGAGTGCTGAGGCATTCAAATTCTAACTACGTTATTTCAGTCGTTTTGGAATTTTTGGGACACCCTGTATATGAGCTGAT